CCCCCGTAATGACTGGAGGCTGCCGTGTCGCTGTGAGTATTCATTACACAGATATTTTCAAAGATAGTGATGTATGCACATCATAGCAGCAGTCCCATAGACTGAAGATTTAATATATGGAAATGTTATTTTTCTCCCTAACAACTGTATATGTATATATGTATATGTATATATATATATATATATATATATATATATATATATATATATATAATTTGGATTTCCTGACATGTGTTTAACTGCATAAATGTACTCACCCACGTTGCAGGCACAGTCCACTTCTCTCGGGTTCACCAATCTCTTTGATAATGGCCTCAATTACTGCAACCTCTACGACCTTGTGTCAAGTGAGTAAAGAACAAACAATCTCAGACCATCACTAAACCATAATAATATACCATAATAATTTTCCTCTTTTTGTCTGGATTCTAGTGAGTGGACTCACCTCTGTACCAGACTTCGAGGAGTTGACCAACGAATGGGCTTGCTTGGGCTACGGATTTGCCACTTGTGACGACCAATAGGAATCACTGTTGAGATGACTGTTAGCGTGGTGGCGTGTACTGTATAACTCTAAAATAATAATAAAAAGATGCATACAAAGTGTCAGCTTGTGAGCTCCTGTTTGTCATTTATGTGGGTCTCTCCTTTATACTTCAATCATCAGTGCAGTAAAACAACTCTCTGAATGTCTCTGTAGGTCAGACCACACACACGTAAACACAAGCTCATGCACATGCTTGAACACTGATGCTTATCACCATTTTCATAGCCGATGATAACCATGACTGTAGGTAAACATGTTGGACCAGAAAGATAAAAAAACATCACTGTAACAGTGGATGCATGTGTTTTATACATTATTTTAGTTGTAAAAAAATTCAATAATGTACATTTTTCACCTTAGAAAATGGATCCCCCCACCAAAAAAACAAACAAACAAACAAAATAAAAACTATAACTCCAAGTATTGCTTCATAAAGCTGCAGCAGTTCTGTCATTTCTCTGCAACCTGGTGTCAGAAAGTAGAACATGACGAGAGTTTGTTTTATAAGTTTGGTAAAGCTCTTTTTTTTCGCTTTAAATGTTATCCTGTATATACAGTATATTGATATATTTATATATATTTTAGTATATATTTCCATATATTCATAATAAAAGTGACCTCTAAAATGCTGCATTTGCCCCTTTATAGTTGCTCTTACATCATTTATACTTGTTCTTTATTTTTTTTTCTATCATTGTATTTTGTTTTTGTTTAATATCAAATGTCTACATGTTTGTTGTTTTAGGTCAGCTGTAAAATATCAATATTGGTTACAGTGAACACATGGTGGAAAAAGAAATAAGGCTGAAATGTTTTAATCCTTCAAGAATGATGCCTGATTGTCTTGGACATGCTGATGCATGAGACAAGTTGATGTTATCAATAGTGTTTGGAAGATACTCTTGACCTAGAGTAGTCCTTTTTAATTCAAATTTAATTAAAGCTGCATTTCATTTTTTATATATATATATATATGTATATCAATTTATTTACATATACATATTAGTTTTAATTATATAAGTTAAAATTCATAATTAATTCATAATTCATAATCAAAGGAAAGCAAACACGATGAAGCGTGTCAAATCAGGGAAACACCACAAGACCATGCTCTGAATCCAAATCAAATCAATTTCAAGCTACGTCTCCACAGCCACAGGTCCAGTCTGTGGTTGTGTATAAAAAGGAGCTCCACCTCAGCCTCAGTACAGATCTTTGGCTCTAAGACCTGCATCACTGTCAACCATGAACTCTCTGCTGTTGGCCTCTGTTCTCCTCACAGGACTCTTCGGATCCTACTCTGCAGTCCCTGTTCCCCCCGGTCCTGGACCTGCTCCTCCTGCTTTCCATGCTTTCTGCAGAACAATGTGGTGAGTTTGGTAACTACTGATTATTCACTGAGTCTGTCTGTGTCTCACTTTTGAAAACAATTTTAATTTTTTTCTCTTTTGTCACAGGCTCTTTCCATCAACTTGCGTTGAGATCAGCACCACCATTGTGAAGCAGATTCAAGCTTTCAACCCCATGAATGGCTGTGACCAGTGTCAGTACAGGGTAAGAACAGCTCAACTGTAGGCAGTTCATACAAAGCCATATTAAAGTCATTAAGAACAAAAACCATAATGTTCTTTGCCATTACTGCCTCTTTTTTCTAGCTGGTGTCAGTCACCCCTCGATCCATCAAGGCAAACCACACTTCTGTTGACAACCTTCAAGCTGAGAGCTTATCCTTCACCTTCAGTCCCACCGTAATGACTGGAAGCTGCCGTGTCGCCGTGAGTATTCATTACACAGATATTTTCAAAGAGTAGCCGCAGTCAAAAGCCTGCAGATTTAATTTATGAAAATAACTATATTGTTTTTCTACCTGTCCTCCATTTAAGGCTAAATAATTCTGTCCTTTGGAGAATCGCCTTATTTTTGTCACACAAGCTCACAAACAGCTTCTTGAAATTGAGTTTCTGTCAAATGTTCTTTCAGTTTAAAAAAACATTTAAGCTGAATTAAAAAAAGAAAATGTTGTCCTACGTTGCAGGCACAGTCCACTTCTCTCGGGTTCACCAATCTCATTGATAATGGCCTCAATTACTGCAACCTCTACGACCTTGTGTCAAGTGAGTAAAGAACAAACAATCTCAGACCATCACTGACCCATACGAGCCCTCACCCATGATGTGATGTTTTCTCTTTTTGTCTGGATTCTAGTGAGTGGACTCACCTCTGTACCAGGCTTCGAGGAGTTGGTCAACGAATGGGCTTGCCTCGGCTATGGACTGGCCACTTGTGCTGACAATTAGGAATCACTGTTGGGATGTATAGCAGTATATGATGTTTCACTGCCTGTGATAAAATGACATTAAAAATGTGCAAAGTTGATTTCAGTTCTTGTTCTTGTTCTTCATCCACACATGGAACATGAATGCAAACATTCAAAAGAACACATGATATTCAAATCTTCTCACCTTTTCTTCAATTTTTCAACATGTTTCAATTTCTAGTAAAGGTATATTACAAGGTTTTAATGCTATCGTGCCAAATGCAGTTGATGTGAGGATTCACAAGTTCTTTGTAAAGGTTTTATAATGCAATAAAACCAATATTTTTCAATTCAATTTTCAATCAGAGCATCAAGTGGTATATAATGAACCAAGGTTACAATTAAAATGAAAATAAATCACACAGCACGTGGGCGCCAGTAATGTCCGGTTCACTTGGAAACAGAAAAGAATAACAACATATTCCAGAGAGAATTTGGAGACTTTATAGATGTTCACACAATCAAATACTCTTGATGAGCCTCTAAAATGTTCAAAGAGGTTTTTTTAATGTCCTGATATGTTATTTGGTAAGGATATACTGTCTACTACATATTTATCCCATTTACATCTAAATGATTAGTAAAACGTTCCTGGCGTGTTTACCAGTGACTGACTGTTTCTTTTTAACTTAGGGGCTGTGTTAGAATCGACAGATGGAAATGATGTTCATCAGGTTTATTAAACACCTGACTCTAAACCAGTTAAATCCCTGTATTTGTTCAAAGACAATATGATGACAACAATATCACCAGACTTCGACCACCAGACCACAGAGTCATGAGCTGAAGCTAATCAATCCCAGGTGACATCACCAGGTCCGTCAGTTTATGTGGATCCAGATATCCACCGCTGTCACTGAACAGATCGCTCCTTATGCTAATTACTGGAGGACACCTGATTCACTGTGACCTCGAGGAACGGCCACTGACCTCTGACGTCTACACGGAACCTTTCAGCCACCTACAATGTTGCTCTGCGTTAACAACACAGTCACACTCCGAGGGGCACACAGCCAACTGGGTCCCTCAGGTTACTGCCGACCCCCCACTGACCGTGGTGTTTACTGCATCCCTGTCATTAGGGCTCAGGGTGTGGTCACTCTCTTTGTTCTACTACAATGCCTCCATCGTGTGGCCCCAACATTTAGAGCAGGGGTCCTCAAATGATCCAGAATCATTAGGACACTTTTTTTTGTCATTCCAAAATATAAAATCAGGAAAAGTCACGCTGATAAGTCATGGTCACAGTCTGTGTTTGTGTAACCAGTGTCTGGTTGGTTTAAGAATTAAGAACTTCCAGTCTTGTGACTCTCTGGTCAGTGAAGCTAAAATCAAGACACCTCCACGCTTTTGTCTTTTTTCCCAGCCTGTCTAATTCTAGTAAAGTTCAGCAAAACAAACAAACAATGCACCGGTCAGATGACATGCAGTGCAGTGACACAGAAAAAAAAGCCCATCATGTGTCTACATCTCTTATCGGAGCATCTGAATCATTCACAGTAACACATGGTAAAGGCATGAGTGGGCATGAAATCGTCCTCGTCTTTAATGACGGGGGAGACGTCCGATTGTCTCTGGAATGACCAGTGACTGATTGTCTCGCCTTTGAAATGGATCTGTTGATCAATCATCTGGATTCAGAGAAGAAGAAGAACAAATCTATTAGGGCTATTTCACAACAGGGAGAAAAATGTCAGCACTAACGTAGGGTTAAAAATATGGCAACATTTAACCAGTATTTTTTGTGGTTGACTTGGGTAGATTTTATCAAATGTTGTTTGTTTTTCCTTTTTATATGTAGAATTTAGATCCCAGATAGAAGACTACAATAAATTGATGTTAGTATGAGAAAAAAACAACAACATTCAACACCTGTGGTGCTCCTCCTCCTCTATCAAACTGTCACATTTGGTAAAATATACCTCTTCCTGTAGACATCATCACCATCATCATCAGACCAACGCCACAAGACCAGGCAGTAAAGCTGGGACCAAATCGATTGTGGGAATTATCACGGACTGTCACGACAAGCCACGATGGTTTGTATAAAAGAGACTCAACCAGACCACAAGTCAGTTCACTACTGCAGTACTACAGTAGTACAGGTACCTACATCACTGTGACCATGAAGACTCTGCTGTTGGCCTCTGTTCTTCTATCAGGACTCGTTGGCTCCTTCGCTGTCCCTTTCCCTCCTGGTCCATTCCCTCCTGCTCCTCCTGCGTACCATGCTTTCTGCAAAACAGTGTGGTGAGTTGTGGTCGTTGATGATGAGCCATCTTTTCCAGGTGTGTATTTATGTGTGTGTATTGACTCGCCTTTCTTTTCTCACAGGCTCTTTGCATCACCTTGCGTTGAGCTCACCACCACCATTCTGCAGCAGATTCAAGCTTTCAACCCCTTGAACGCCTGTGCACAGTGTCAGTACAGGGTAAGAGCAGCTCACCTGTGCATGTTCTAGTGAGACAGAAGTGTAAATAATTCCACCATACCAATAATAGCTGTTATTTTTCTCTCCCAGCTGGTGTCAGTCACCCCACAATCCATCAGAGCCAACCACACTTCTCCTGAAAACCTTCAGGTCGAGAGCTTATCCTTCTCCTTCAAACCTACTGTAATGACTGGAGGCTGTCGTGTCAATGTAAGTTTCTATTTCACTCCAGTTACCAGAGATGTTTCTTTCTTTCTTTAAAATTACTTTTTTTGTTTCAGAGTATTGAAAGGGGGAACATTTTACAAAAGTAACCCCTCAGTCTTATTGTTGCAATTTTTCCTGGGGAGATTTTACTGCTGTGTTTACTGCTCCCTTAAAATGCTCAAAATATAGTCACAAGTTTAGTCCGGCTACAATAGCAAACAGTGTCTACAAACTGATGTCTGCCTAACAACTTGTGACAATCACTTTTCTCCTTTCTCTGATGTAAATGTTGGCTTTAACAGTCTGTGTTGTGATCTGTCAGGCCATGTCCACTTCCCTGGGATTCACCAGTCTTATTGATGATGGTCAGAACTACCAGAACCTGTATAACATTCTTACTGGTAAGTGAAGAAATGTACATTCTTTTATCTTAAATTATTGAGTTGAAGAATCTAATTTTTTTGTTTTTTTGTTTTGCATTTTGATTTTCAGCGAGCGGACTCAATTCTTCACCAGGCTTCATTGAGATGACCAACGACTGGGCTTGCCTGTGTCATGGACTGGGCACCTGTAATAACGCTTAATCAGTAGTTGAAGACAATGCAATGTTTTATTTGTTCAAATGTTCAAATGTTCTGAGTCGTTATTTCTGCGATAGTTTTGCTGTAGATATTACACATATAAATGTGCTTGTAGAGAAGTATCAATAAAAAAGGCAATTTTATTTCTTCGTCACGTGTGATTTTCTCAGCTGGTGTCAGAACAAAGAAATGGTGATTTTTTTCAAGATATTCCCTTTTTTATTAAATAGGAATTATTAGAAATGGTTTGTATTGTAACAGTATTTGTCAAGGATTCCCATGTGAAGCTAATACCACTTAATGCACTCAACTTAATGTACTCAAATACATGCCGGGCCTGCAACTCAATACCACTCACTTCCTAATATCTTTTCAGTCTCGTTGTCCTTATTTTATTTAAACAGGTTACACTGTCAGCAGTTTGGAGGTATTTTAACAAAATCCTCACATTTGTTTCCATTTCTATCGGTTTGTAAAGACAGGTACCAAAGCTAGTCTAAGTCCATTTAAATTTCATGAACTGCCACAGGGCTCAGTCACAGATTCACAATTTCTGGGCAAAAAAAAGTTGCATAAAATAAATATAAAGTCTGTTGGATTTGCTATCAGAGCTCTCCAGACTTCACATTCCCTCTGAGAGGCCAATTTGCACAACAAAGAGCCTCAGCCCCGTGTGCTGGGCCTTCATTAGCCACCAATAGCTCCATCCCCTGATCAGACCTTGTCAGCGAAGGACGCCTTTTTCATCTCAATTCCCCCTTTCTGGACTTGATGTTTATGAACCTAACACTTACTTTTTATGTTGCGAGGCAATAAAGGGTCATTCTTTTTAAATTCAACTATCAAATTTGCTTATGGTTAACATGGGGTTGACGGTGAAAACATCTCATAGTTTGACTGAGGAAGTCAGTTTTGAAATGGTTGATGTCTGGTTGTAGTTTATGGCAGTGGTTCTCAAACGTTTTATACTCAGTGCTATTTACTTCTTAGTAGAATTCTGGGGAAAGCTTCTCACACCAGGTCAACACCTCCACCTTTGTCTCAAGTAAAGGCTGAAGTGACCAGGTGGATTCAAACATTTTAGGGTTCTAAACTTTTGATGATATTCTTTTGATTGCCTTTTTTTGGGTATCAACATTTTTGAAGGTTGAAAATCCTGATCCACAGTCTAACATTATAGTTAAAATGAAAACATCTGTTCCGACATACTTTTCTATAGATTTTTCATACAAGGTCTTCTAAAAGCTAGAGTAAAACATCTGTTTTCTCTTTATTATTACTTTTCTTTTTTGGCCAGAAAAAAAAAATCTCTTTTTTAGTGCAACATTTTTTCACTAACCTATTAAGGAATCCTTGGCAAAGCACTATGTCGTTAAAATGATACAGTATAAACCATGAAAGCGTTAAAGTGTTATTAAGAATATCCTTGTTAGGACTGGTCTGGTTTATTGAAGTTGAAGGGAAAATCATGAAACATCGTAAAAAAAAAAAAACATAAAAAGAACAAAATAAAACTGTAGGTTTTACTCATACGTCTTTACAGATTGTTTTTCTAACAACACTATCATAATAAAACAAAGAAAAAAAGTAACAAAAAAGACAAAAGAATTATTTGTCAGTGTGACACAGCACACCACTGCACACAGGGTGCAGCAATAACATGGGGAGCAGTGTGTGGGGCCGGTGCCATGCTCAGTGCACCTCAGTGGCAGCTGGTGGACTCGAACCTTCCGAACTCAAGTCCGCATTCTTGACCACCAAGCCACCACTGCCCTCATGATTGAAATTAAAATAAAATGTTAACTGAAATTAAAATGTTTAATTAACAAAACCTAAACCAAAACAACATGACTACACATCATGGCACGGGGCCTCTCCGTAGCCCAGACAAGCCCATTCATTGGTAATTTCTGCGAATCCTGGTGAAGACATGAGTCCACTCGCTGAAGTCAAAGCATGAAAAGAAATGAGATTTTTTTTTCCAGTTTTTTTAACCCAGCAATCACTTTGATGTTTTTATTATTTATTTTGTATAAGACTGTGCCGTTTTTTCACTCACCAGAAAGGATGTTATACAAGTTGCAGTAATTCAGACCACCATCAAAGAGGTTTGTGAATCCCAAAGAGGCAGACAGGGCCTGATTGGTCACACCGACGAGAGAAGACAGATAACAAAGAGACAAAGAAGAAACTCGTGATCCCATTTTGTGTGGCAATAAAAAAGAAGAACAGTAATTTGGTGAAACATGGACCGAGGCTCGCACTGACTGAAGGTCTCCTGGGTTCAAATCTGATTTTCTGCTAAAATCAGATTTGTAGCTTGGTTGTTGACATCATAGTTTACAATACGGCCTTTGACCCGCATGCACAAAAGAGGATGTCATGTCACGTGTAAATCAAATTTGGATGTAAATAAAATAACATTTCTTACTATCAGAAGTGCTTTGCTCATGTCAGAAAGCACTTGTAATATTATTTTGATCACCTCATGAGAGCAGTCTAAATTCTTCTCTTTATGTAATCTGTGTTTTTAAAAAACACCTCGGTGTGTTTTTAGAAATAAGACTCTTTACGTCGTTGGAAATTCAAATGGAACAGATACTCACGGTGACACGGCAGCCTCCAGCCATTACAGTGGAACTGAAGGTGAAGGTCAGACTCTCAGCCTGGAGGCCGTCAGCAGAGGTGTGGTTGGCTATGACGGAGTTGTTAGTGATTCCCACAAGCTGGAATAGAACGAGCCACTGTTAATATTGTATTTTTTTACACTAATAAAAAAAAAAGTATCATGGATGAGCTGTCCTCACCCTGTAGTGACACAGTATGCATTTATTCACAGGGTTGAAGGCTTGAATCTGCTTTAACACTGCGGTGCTGACGTTGATGCACGGTGATGCAAAGAGCCTACGTGAGAAAAAAGGAAAAAATGTTAGCAAGTTATTTAAAAAAAATATACAAAAACATATACAGACAAACTTGTCACACTCACCACATAGTTCTGCAGAAGGCATGATAAGGAAGAGGAGCCGGAACAGGACCAGGAGGAACAGGGACTGCAGCCAAGGAGTCAAAGAGTCCAGCGAAGAGAACGGAGGCCAGGAGGAGAGTCTTCATGGTGACAGTGATGTCTGTGCTGTTCTACTGCAGGGCTGCACTGACACTGAACTGACTAGTGATCTAACTGTCAACCCTATTTATAAAAATGTCATCACATGTCATCACATGTCATGTGGGGTCAGTCAAATTGATTTGCTTCGGAGCCTGACTCTGGGAGACTCTGGGTGTGAATATGGTCTGTGTTAGTTCTCACCAGATGTGAAATATAATAAAAATATAATAATAAAATATAATACTTCAAGAAAATCATGATTTTATATAATATAAATTAAATGATCACAAATAGGTTCCTCTGTTTTGCTGTGCAGTTTTGTCCACTGACAGCATGTATCATTCAAAACTTTTCTCTTATTCCAAAATGTTTTAGATTAAAAAAAAAAAGTTGATCACAATGGCCACAAATACTGTTAGAGATGCACTTAGAGGGTGAGGGAGGGGTCACAAGACCAGATGTTTTACACCTAATCAATTTCAAGCTTCTTCATTTAGTTCTGATGCCAAGATTACCAGGTCGTCTGAAACAGCCTGTCGTTGAACCATCAACCAAACATCACTGAACACTGTTCTGCTCCACCGATGCCGTCCTCATGTCCCTCGTTCCTACTGCACAACACTCTGGTACAAGATCTGCTTTTTTATTAAGTCCACTCGTAGGTTTTGTTTTGTTTTTTTACTCTTGCACGTGACAACTTTTATCTCTCATAAAAGACAACTAACTGTGTTGTTTTCCTCTCCCTCAGGCCCTTTACAACTGCGTGTGATGAAATCAAAGCCACCGTAGTGGAACAGATTGACACCTTCGACCCAGAGAACGGCTGTGCTGACTGTAATTATTGTACATTTCAGGGAAATTATTTAATTTTTTTCATTGTATATATACAGTATATACAGTATATACACACATATATATGTATACATAAACTGTGTTTCTGTATATGCACATATATATGTGTGCAGTAAGGGAAGTTGTGGATCAGAGTCAAACCTGTGACCTTCAGCAGCTCGGGTCTTCTTCATCCCTGACTGATGATTTTAGGCCCGTATTGGAGGTTTCAGTTCTGAGTCCTAGTGCCCTCTTCAGACAATTGCTGCAACTTCTAGGGTGACGTACCTGGGATAAAAACACAATTTATGAGATGAATTACCTTCATCATTTCACTCCCCTCTTTCCTTCCCACTAAAGTGTAGTTTTGTTTCTATCCATGAATATCAAGTGAAGAGCACCGTGGAGTGTTCAGAGTACTTTGGCAGGAGGAAATAAGTGTTGAGTACGTATAGCTGTGAGTGAATGTTCAGTGTGACAGCTGAATCAGAGGCAGGTCTGGCAACAAAAACAGTACAAAGTCCGAGTCTGAGTCAAACAGTTCTGTCCAGTTACTGCTTGTTTTAGGGTTGGTGTGACAACAAGCAACAGTCTTTTATTGGAGGACGGCGTCACAGGTGTGGCATTCTGGGTTTTAACTGTCATCACGAGGAAATAAAAATCCCCTTATACCACTGGTGGGAGCCCAAGAACCCCACTGTGGTACCACAGTTTGAGAACCCCTTCTTCAAGTATGAATAAATGACTGCAAAGGTTAAACCCATAATGGTTTCATGTCTCATCAGCAAAGAAAATGTTTTTTTAATTTATTTTTAATTTTTAACCAGATTTTTAAATTACATAACATAAGGGTTTTAAAGTTTCACGAGGAGGAGACAATATTATGTCACGTTTTTGTGCCCGATTTTGCAAGTATCCCCGTCTGCCTGCAGGGGACGCCAAATTACAACATTCAAACACCACTGCAGGATTTACAGAGGTAGCAGTACTTTTCTTTCATATAGGAACTGTGCTGATGAATATGCAGAATGAATACACACACAGAGACACACACAAAGAGATATATATAAATAAAAAACATATATAAATACAGACAAAATTATTAAAGCTACATGTCCTATTGACTAGGCTGTAATTCAGAGCTCGTTCTCTTGACTTCTTGTCTTCACATTTTCTCAAGTGTCTAAGTTTCTTACTCTCTGTCACTGTGTGTCAGACAGAGGAGCAGGGGATTTGAGGGGGGGGGGCTGACTTAACAGCTTCTTCCTACTCCTCCTTGAACATTCCCCTTGTGGTCATGTTCATGTTAAACGTGCCGACCATACAGATGAGGCAGAGTGACAGTTTTCTCTTGGCACTAATGAGGAAGCCTGCACTGGGACGGTACTCATGAGTAACATCAGTCATGTGTCCCATGAACAAAACACAAAAATTAGCATCAGACGTTTGCATAATTACGGAGCTGATAAATACATTGGAAAATCCCAGAGGTTTCCTGTTATCAGCTGCTGACTGTACGGGGTTTATATCTTAATTTTATCAATACTGTCAAATACATAAATGGATTTTTAATGTACTTCATAAACAGTTTCATTAAAATACTTACACATGTATCACTCACAGTTAACAAATTATTAAGCTTGGAGGTAAAAAAGGAATTCAGTGAATACATTAGGTGCCGATAAAAAGGTAGATATAAAATATTCAAATTTGGACTTTATTCCTACAGCGTTCAACCAACCAATCAGATTGTGTCTGTAAAAATCAAACCATTTGTCACTGGGCAATGTGGTGACCTTTCCCTAGTTTATAAATATACAAATCCGATTCATCCAGCCTTCAAAGTTTGGTTCTCAAACAGCTCGGCTCTGTTCTCTCCTGCAGGGGAGCCATAATGATGACGCATGGAAGGAGTTGTACTAAGATGCTGGTGGGCTGCTCGGACATTTGCGGAGATGGTCGTTGCGTTGGTGACTCCTCTCAGGGCAGTTCTCCACACCAGCAGACCAAATGCTGCTGTGGAGACCATCTGCTCAGAGAGCTGCGCTGAACCAGACGGAGACACAGTCTGTCTGCTGTAACATGTTCACCTCAGCCACTGAAACCACTTCAGAACTAAATTAAAAATGAGAGAGACTGACAGATATACTCTGCAAACATCTAACACACCAGGGGTCTTTTCAGACTTTTTCAGGACCGCAACGAAGGGAGAGATTGCGCTAGAACTTCCAACTATTTCATTGTAAAAAATCGATTTATAAAATACTAGTTCTCAAGTATTTTACACCATGTACCACCTCACAAAATACTTCGACTACTACAAGTACAACCAGTATAACCAATATGTACATGGTACATGAAGACTGCTAATAGGATTGTTAGCCTTTTTACTAGCTACAAAATGAAGTAGCACTACAATAGTACATAAATGCAAACCAAACACACACACATGCAAAACAAGTGAAAATATACAACAGCTATATTATACAAGATTTCCACCAGTAGTACCACCAGAGGGACCGTAACATCGGTAGTACATGGACCATAGTTTTCAGAAAATTATATTTAAAATAAATAAGTATGCAGTAATATTGTACTGTTTAATTGGTCCATGTGACTCTGGTTGACCTCTGGCCTTATGTACTGCGGAGCATCTTGACCTTAGACCTTTTATTGGCAGACTGTTAACATTTCAGTGGCAGATTTGATGGATGGCTACTGTAACAGCTCGGTACCGGTGCCTTCCACATTTATAGCTCCACATGATTTGCTTACTTTCACTGATGGCTTGCTATGAAATGTCCGAAAGTCATGATGACCTCGTGAATGACTTCATTAATTGAGCGATGACTCGACAGCCTGGGAGAAATTTTACAATCTTGCTACAAAAGATTTGTTCTCTTTAGTGGCTCGTAACTTATTTGGTCATTAGTGCATGACTTATGAAGCACTAATGAATATAAAGTTGTAACCTATGTTACAACTTTGTGTTGGCTTTGTAATAGATGACCTTTTCGAAGGAGAGTACTCATAATTATTTATATTTTTAATGTTCAGTGGCCTGGTAGAATGTGTACAGGTCTAAGGCCAAGCATTATTGGATATTTAAAACGTATTAAAACAGCATAGACATGTTTAGGTGGGTGGTTGTACGTTTTTTCTTTTTTCATTGAATGTAGATTTTGCGAATACAGTTCTCACATTGTTGATTCCTTCTCAAGGGCTCGTGTCTTTGGATGCTGATCCAGCACGAACAAAGTCACATGATTTTCTTCCCTAGGTATGTTATTATGCTGTTTGCAATGAGCTAGGGATCATTTTCATTCTGAAAGATGAACCCATTACCAAAAAGACGTTTCACAGATGGCAATGCAAAAAATGCTCGCCATTAATGGCTTTATAAATTTGGACCAGGTCCCCAACATCACTGGTACTAGTACCCCTCATACTATCACTGACACTGGGTTGGGTTTCAATGAAAACGTAATGAGCTGGAAGGCGGTATTACATGGAGAGAAAAGATCTGTGGGTAATCAGGTGACGTACAAGTGTGTGGGCGTGAGCTCAACCCAAACCACAGTGAGGACGCCAAGCAAGAAAATGCTTACAGTCAGTTTTAGTTACGTCTCATTAACAGAAGGATATTCAAGCCACTGAGAAACAAGTCTGTCTGTACTGAACAAAAGGCTTCAAACTATCACTATCACCATCATCACATGACAAACAAAGTATGCCTCTGTATAATATCCACCAAAAATACCAAATAAAATCACCTAGACTTTATTTAAAAAATTCATTATTGGTATTTTGTTTTGTCACCTGTCACCTTTAAATGACATTAGGAAAGCATGTGATTGCTATAGAAAGATAGAATTAGATTAAATAAGATATGTTGGAAATTGTATTGATTCTTGAAATTGGTCCCAGAGGGAAATCGGGTTTCCGGCCAGTCTCCACCGTCAATAAGAAAAAAAAAAGAACAAAAAAAAAAAAATCACACATGCAGTAATAATGTATAAAAGCTGTAAGGAAAATATTTACATAATCCCTGTCACGGTATATTAAAAAAACAAACAAACAAACAACAAGATTTGAATAGAACTGAAACAATGGTAGGATTATTTGACAGCTATCGTTTTGTTCACATATTTACAAAGGGATGTTTTAACATATTATTATTATTATTATTATTTATAATAATAATTATCACTATGTTGAAAAAACATAAATGTATTATTAATTAAATTTAAAATACTTTATTAGTATATTTTTTAGATTTACTGTCATACATATCTGTTAAGGTTATGTTTGTTGAAATAATTACAACTCAATTAAAAAAATAAAATAATTTTAAAAAAATGTTTAGGTTAAACCAAAGGAAATGCTCCTGTTTTGAAAACTTTAAACTAATCCAATGAAGGCTATCTTGAAGCAGTTGTCATGTTTGTGTGTGTGTGGACCACACTCTAAAATGAAGGCTTCAGTCACTGTCACACTTCCCTCCTGGGGGCCGGGCTTTGCAGACCCTGAAGTGACAGCGTACACACTTAACCCCTAATCCTGACATTTTTAATGAACTGCTACAACTGTCCCCTCTGCACAGAGGCCATTAGATACAGCAGCTCTCCCTTTTATTTTATTTTCTGGTGGCTGTTGCTGCGAGGCTTCCTTTGTCCAATGAAACTGGACCCAGAGGAGCTGTTCAGGTTCAAAGCACGTGACGGGGGAAACGTTTGCTAAAGGAAAGGTGTTAAATTAACGTTACCAGCATCTTAATATTTTGTGTACCGTTATAGACCAATGTAGTTCATTCATAAATTATTTAGACTTAACCAGTCTCCCCCCTCGTTTCCGGGGATTGTTTCAAAATATATATAAAAAAAGAGGAGGAGACCGACGGAGGTGTGTAACATCTGCTGTGCAGGTTGAGGTGAGAATTCAGTCTGCACTTTAATTACGTGGTGGCCAGAGTTCAGAGAAATCACAGATGGGTGAACTCTGTAACTATCTCTAATCCTGGTCTGCCAATTAACATCAGGGATTTGTGGGAGTTTATAAAACAAGTATGGATCCAAGTCATTGCCAACAGCCTCCATAGGGCAGTGAAATGAAATCTTGCAAAACCTTTTTTACGGGCAGACCTGGATCAGAATATGAACACGGCAATAGGTTTTATATTGCAGCAGCATTTGCATGTCTGGCTGTAGTTGAAGAGCAAAAGGAGGACAGGGAGATTTCATGAACAGGCGGGAGGTAAGAGCTGAGTTAAACCATAGATCAAAGTAAAAAAAAACTCCAGACAGTTTAAACAGAGGGAGACAGAGAGGAAAAGTGTAAAGACAGTCTGTCCTGAATCACAACAGTGGAACATTCTGGACACATTGTCAGTAATGTTAACAGGGGGCGTTGTGTGTTTTGGGTCTTTAAGGTGACACACCGCGACCAGGCCTCAAATAATCAATAGTGCATTTCATTTACCTTGTACAGTGGGAGGTGGGTGGGCAGTGAGTTAGTGTGAATGAAGCTGTATCTGTTTAAAAACCTGAGTCGACTTGGCTCTGTAAAATTATCAGTCAGTCCCTAAACAACACATTTCAAATTTCACACACAACAAAACTATGACAACGAAAATGCAAATTCAAATGCAAAGACAGAACACACAAATGCATGGAACCAAATTCAAATCTAAACACCTGCTTTAGGTGATTAGTCCATGCACCTCTGCAGGAACTGCATGCCACAACTTTGTCATGAATGTGACTATACTACTGCACAAGACACATTCATGTAGCAAATAATAATTGCATTGGGTGACAAGTGGCTTTTTGCTCCTTGGAGGGGACATGCCCCCCTCTTTGGGAACCAACCCTCACTCTAAGGTAAATGTAACGGCACTAACAAACACACTGCTACTGTTTATATAGACATACCACATTACGCATGAGCATCCGGAAGAACTGCGACTTCCTCTCCGCCTGTAGGGGGCCACAAAGCGCCGCAAGCTATGGTAGCGCCTGCGGAAAAATCCATAAAAAAAGAAAAAGGGAAGAGAAGCTTCCACATCTCGCGATATGTGACTGAGCCAGAATAATCCGAGATTAGAGGAGTAACTTTCTGGGTGCTGGTGACAGGACGAAGACGGGCTGCACTATAAACAGAAACAAGGTCAGTTTACTTTGTTGGACAAACTCCGATGTGTCTTTTCCCCGTTGCAGATATGAGTCGTTGTTGCCTGCTGTAAAAGCACGATTTTTTGGTCGCATTTGCAGATATTGTGCAGCGGTTTGACGTTGGTTTTGCAGAGAAGACGCTGAAAATGCGGAGACAAACTTTGCATTTAATGGTTTATCATGTAGTTAGACATTACTTTGAGTTTTTGCACTTCAGTCCAAAGGTCACCCAGCTGCTGCATGTGTTAAGATTAAAGTTAATGCCAGTCACTTCAATCTACACTACCTTTTATAATACTGTAAGATAAGAAATAATATAATCATAATATTAATTATAATAATATTTAATAATAATAATACATAAATAAATACTACATTTTACAAGTCTGGTTATTCTCAATGCAATGTTAAATAAATAAATAAATAACCTCACCTTTACCTTTTTTGCTTGCTTGGACCCGAGACACAAATTAACGTTCAGGGAAACTTTAAAACGCTGTATTCAGTCAATACATCTGCCATGACTTGGTGTTATAGAACTTTAAAAACAAGTCCTATAATCTGTAATAACTGTTGGTTAAACATCCTGACAATAAAGACCTGACCTACAAACATGTCATAATGTGATTAAAGTGTTCTTTGAAAATGTGACTAGAACACAGTGTTTTACACCGTAGTAGTGAAGCGTGTCCATTTGTTTCCATCCTAATGCAAAAGTAAAGTGTGACTTTGAACTTGCTCCACATCTGTTACATTGACTTACCATCAGTGAAAGTGAATCGTCTCTGTTTTGGCAGGTTGTGTCAGGTTCAATCACTGGTCAAGGCATCATGTCTGAGCAGACCGGGAAGGTTCAGACCGTCCTGGGCCTGGTGGATCCAGACCAGCTGGGCCGCACCATGACTCACGAGCATCTCACCATGAGCTTCGAGTGCTGCTACTCCGCTCCTGCTTCAGGTGACGAGGCGGTGGCGGAGAACCCGTTCAAGATGCAGCACATGCACTGGCTGAGGCAGAACCCCTACAGCTGCCACCAGAACCTGCTGCTGCAGCAGGAGACCACCGCCGTGAGGGACGAGCTGCTGGCTTACAAGAAAGCCGGAGGGGGCGCTATTGTGGAGAACACGACCAAAGGCATCGACAGGGACCTGCCCACGCTTCGACAGTTGGCCATGGACACGGGGCTCCACATCATCGCGGGAGCCGGGTTCTATGTGGACTGTACTCACTCTGAGACCACCAGGAGTATGAGTGTGGAGAAGGTGGGGAGTGTGTGTGTGTGTGTGTAGACTGTTGTACACACACTCACTGTATGTATTATGTTGTTTTAGCCAAATATTAATTTATCTGAACAAATGTATGACTTTTTAGTGGTATTATTATCATAAACTTAAACACGGATGACTTCCTGCTCTTTAGCTCACGGACGTCATCGTCGGAGAAGTGCTACACGGGGCTGATGGGACAAACATCCGCTGTGGTGTGATTGGAGAGATTGGCACATGCTGGCCAATCACAGAGAGCGAGAAGAAAGTGCTGATGGCCACGGCTCAGGCTCAGGCCCAGCTCGGCTGCCCAGTCATTATTCACCCGGGAAGAAATCCTGCAGCTCCAGCGGAAGTTGTTCGGATTCTTCAGGAGGCTGGAGGAGACATCAGTAAAACTGTCATGTCTCACCTGGACAGGTAGTTAAAAATACATTTTAACAATTAACTGTAAATTCATCAGAGGAAAATGTGAAAATTGACAAATGTCTCTATTTTCTGGCAATGAATCAAGAGAATATCTTCTTTACACTCTTCCTTCAGGTTCAAATATTGTTGTCTGGTTTAAAAATTCTGAAAATTTGAATTTTTTAAACTGTTTTCTTTGGGAGTTTTGTTTAGACTGTTGTGTGTTTTATTACTCTCTAAATTGTCAGCCCTGAAAATAAAACGTGCTGCTGTTTGACTTCATCTTCCGATTATTGTTTTGTCACAGAACCATATTTGATGAGGGAGAACTGCTGGAGTTCGCCAAACTGGGCAGTTACCTGGAGTATGACCTGTTTGGTGTCGAGACGTTGAACTACGTGTATAACCTAGACGTGGACATGCCCAGTGACAGCCAGAGAGTGAGAGCGTGAGTAACTGCTAACACAGAGACAGACATATACAGTGTAGGTCTCTGTAAAAGTTGAACTTCATGTCCTTAAATGTCTGCTTTTTTTCTAATAAATATACAAAAGAAATCCATGTGGCAAATCTTGGTCCGAAGGCCAGATCTGGTCAGCAATGCTTGTTTTATGCGACTCATGGTGACGAATAAAGGAAAACATAATAAGCTCTGAATCGATGGAAGACGGCATTGTGAATTTCAAACGATGGATGAAACTCAAACAGTTCCCAGTTAGAAAACACCCGCGTCTGTGGAACTACTTTCTGCAAACTGAAGAAGAAATAAGGATGTTTAAATTCTGAAATAATAATTATAATTATGATATATGTGCAATAATAATTTACACACGATGTGCGTGACCTCAACACACACACACAAAAATCTACAACGTGTTCATTCACACTCGTATTCCCATCTCTAGTTAATTTAATGTGAAAAATTAACCTTATCTTGAATGTTTTTGGTTACCACGGGGATCAAACCTTCCTGCTGTGAGGCAAGAACACAAACCACTCTCACACCATGCTGCCCCCTGTGGTTTTTTTTGTCATGACTAGAATGTTTCTTTCTTGCATCCTTCCACGCAGAGACAAGAGTGTGTCCTAGACTTTTTTTTTTCACCTAAGCTGTGAGACACTAATCTCCCACCTCAGTGCAGGGAGGAGTGTGTGTCAACAGCAGGATAATAAATGAGTTACGTCGTTGCCGGCACTATTCACATTCCGGGCAGACGTTAGTCCACAAACACACAAGACAGGTTCAACAGAGCGCGAAGGTTGATTGGCAAATACAGAGTGTTTTTAACCTCAAAGTTGATGTCTGTGGTGTGTTCAAGGCCCCGTGGTTCATACCAGCTTCTGTGTTTGTGCGTTAAGATTGTCATTCCTGGTGAAGGAGGGCTACGAGGACAAGGTCGTGGTTGCCCACGACATCCACACCAAGGACCGTCTGACCAAGTACGGCGGCCACGGCTACTCTCACATCCTGAAGAACATCGTTCCCAAGATGCTGAGGAGGGGGATCTCACAGCAGCAGGTGGATAAGATTCTCATCCACAACCCCAAACGCTGGCTGACCTTCAAATAAGGGCCGTAAGCAGAGAGGGCAGACCTCAGTGTAAAGGTCAACAGTATCAATCTTTTTCAATTTGAAAATGAAAAAAAAAAATCCAAAGGATTTCTAATCCAGATTTTAGCAAACCAAATTATATATTTTTTCTGATGCTAATCAGAAAAAACACAACTTTACAGCAGATAAAGAGAGCACAGACACATGATGGATTTTGTGATCATCTTATCTTTACATGATGATTGATTATTCTTTAATTAATTCCGTCATATCTTGACAACAATCACGTGTAAAATCTTTAGCGTAGTTTGAAACCAGGGCTGAACAGGTTTGTGTTTCCACCAAAGATTTCCAGTGTAAATCAATAACATGGTTATTAATGATGTTGTTCACATTGATGCCACAAATATTTTTTAAATAAATTTAAAGTAAAAAATAAAATCACAGCATGTTTGAGATACTTGGGTTTGTTTGATTTATTGTCCACTGACCGGTTTCACAGTTTTTGTGCCAAACACTTTTTTATTCTACATTCAGCACCAATATATTTTTTTAAATGTTAATGAAAGGCATTCAAATTTTTCCATATTTTCTTAGCACGTTGTGTGACTGAGGTATCAAACCAAATCTCCGTAACTGTGAGACAGATCCAAATAATAGTTTTTTGAAATTATCAGATTTTTTTTGGGAACTCTAAACAAACACACATTTTGTTGTTTTTGTTTCGCCCAACTTTTCTCACAGTTTCTCTTCAAAGGAGTATAATTGCAGAATGCTGTTTCAATCAGTTGATTTTTTTTTGTTCATTTGCAAAACCTTGTGTTTAGTGATGTCGCCCATTTCAAGCTAATTAGGTCACAGAGCCAAAGAATCACGGCTGCATAAATGTGAAGGAAACTGCACCAGTTTGTTCTGCTCTCAGGTAGTATCGTCGATGACGGCGCTATGAAGCTGCGAAGCTAACACATCCCCTCGGCTGTGGTGACGTTCACTTAAACATTCTGCACACAAATTTTCATGAAAGGGGTAAAAAGCTAGTGCGGCTGTAATCAGTATGCTGCTCTGCTCTGCTCTCCACACAATGCGGCTGTGGTAAATGAGTTGTCCTGACGTCCCTCAGTGGGTGTTGGGGTGTCTGTATGGGAGGCTGAGTGTCTGGCGAGCCCAGATGAAGGACACGTTCTCCTCTCACCTGGAAACAGGTGGCCTCACAGGGTGACTTCACCACATGATCAATGACGCGGCTTCAACAGCTGACTGTGAGCCGTGAAAGGCCGTGTAACTTTGATGAATCTTCGGAGAGTGTTACAGAGTGAGCCACAGGATCTCATTTTACAATATATTCAACACTGTGGCTGACAGGCTTCACTGGAGGAGCTTAACAATCAGCAGGCAGATCGATGAATGTTGTTGGGCCGGAGGAGACATCATTTTCTCTCAGACTGTCCAGTTTTGTGATGGTGACTAACTATACCAGTGCAGTCCTGTTAGCCCCAACCAGCTGTTGTGATCAGAGGGCCAAAAAAGCAAAAACCAAAAAGATGCTGTGAAGACTCTGTGACTATTTGGACGTTTCTTCTCTTTCTTTATGCTGCACTGGGTTCTAAATTTAACTGGGGATTTTTTTTTCTGATAAAATCATGCATCACTATTTCTTTGAATACTTGAAATGCAGCAACAATCACACTTTTTTTTTTCTTTTTTGAAAAATAAAGCACACACGTGGACTAACAGCACAGTGAACAGCGTGGGGATGGTGTGGTTTGCTTGCTATAATCCAGTGCTGAGGGTGAATACATTGAACTCTTCGTCTACATTTAGCAGTGTGTGTTAGCACAGCGTCTACAGTGTATGCCTGACATGTCAGCAAACTTAAATCGTGAAGCTCAGAGTTCACTCAAAGTGCACTAATCAACCCGACGAGGGAATAATTAACGATAAATAACTGAAGGTTCCTTCTTGCGCTCATGTAAATACGGTACACACACAGACGGCCTATTGCTAAGTACAGTCCGCTCCTTTACGCACGCCTTCATCCTCTCCTCCTCTTCCTCATCATCATCCACGGGTCTTTTTGCACTATGAAAATGGTGAGCTCCGTCTCTAATAATCCAAGTCACACTGAACCGAGACCGAGCAATGAAGCAAAGCTGTATGCAGAGCATTCTCCTCCCGACCACCGTGTCTCAGTCAGCGTACAACATGAAGCCGGAGAAAGTGCTGTACTTGTTGTTGTTGCCCCCGTGCGCCTTCCCCCCGTCCAGTTTGATGTAAATCTCGTCTCCTGGCTCCAGGTGGAGGACGACGCTGTTGCTGGCGTAGTCGTAGTTCTGGTCTGCGTCCTGGGCAATGGCGCTGGCTCTGACCTGAAAGATGACGGTCGGTATCAGTGATCGAACAGTACACGTCACTCACGATACACATGTCAACTTTTTTTGCTTATAACGCACAGCCACGTGACTCTTTTTATAACACACCTCAAGAGAAATCCATGTTTGTGAGCCAACCGTGCGTAAAAGCCGTGCGTAAAAGCCGTGCGTAAAGAGTGACTGTTTTACGCACAGCTTTTCCAATGTATCATTACATCAAAAAGTAGTGATGATGAATTGAACGAGTTTACTGTCACATCATGTCACCTTAGAATGTCCTACCTGGTTGTTTTTACACAGGTCAGCCCACATACTGGTGCCGTCTCCGCCGCGCATCAGCACGTGGTAAATAAAGAAGTAAACTCCCGGTATGGAGCAGGTGAATTTCCCAGTCGACGGGTCGTAGTGGTTTCCAATATTTGTGACTACGTCGTCGAATTTCAGAACCTCATATCCCTCGTGCTGCTTCTTCAGTCCTGCATAAAACGCAATCTTTGGGACCGTGTTGTAAGTCGCAGCGCTGATTGCACCAGTGGGTCCATTGGCTCCTGGTGCTCCAGGTGGACCCGGTGGTCCCGGAAGCCCTCTCTCACCTGGAGGACCAGCTGGTCCAGGTGGTCCGGGTTCGCCCACCGGACCCCTAGGACCCATCCTCCCCGCGCGGCCCGGCTCTCCTTGAGGACCTTGGATGAACGTAGGAAGCGACTGGACCAGCCGGTTGTCTTTGATTGTGTTGGTCGCCTTGGCCGTGGCGGCGGTCGCTGTCCCTTGGGGGTCGCACACCATTTGACAGGACCCGAGCATCTCGTATCGCGCAGGACTCCCGGCGGAGTTCACCACCACTGGGATCAGAACCACCAACAGCAGCACCAGCGCGACGCCACAAACACCAGTTGCGATCATCTGCGCTCTGCGGATTCGCGGCGATCTCCGGAGCCGGTGGTCTTCCAGCCTGCTTGATGGTGGGATTTTTGCAGAGGAGAAGAAATCAGCTCAATTCACCTTTGTGATGTGCAGCAACTTCAGGAGACAGAAAGTCCGGGGTACGGCTCCGCGTAAAAGTAACCATCCACAGCTTTTACGCACCGGAAAATCCTCCCAAATGGATCATCTCTCTTGGTTCAGCGCAAAATATCGAAGAGCAGAAGAACTGTTGGAAGGAAAATAACAAAAAGATCAAAGTCAAATGAACAAGTTTCTGCTCAACGCAGAGCCACAGGAGAGAATGGACTAGAAATCAAGTGCTCCGAGTTTGAGTGTTTGGACGGTGAAGGGAGGGGTGGAGTTGATGGATGGGCTAGAAACCGTGTGTTTCTTTAATCAAAAGAGAGAAAGTGGAGGAAACACACGCACATCAATGCAACTTTGTAGATTCCAAAGGCGACTGTCGTATATCTATTTTATCCCGAGTGTCATTAAAGTCAGTTAGCAGGGTTTAAAAGCTGTGAGTTTACCTTCCTGGGGAAAAGGGTTAGTGTAGCAGTGATCCACACAGACCTGAAAGGTCCTGGGCATAATTAAGCTCATTAAGACAAAAAAGCTATACTGTTTTGGCACCTGGTCACACCTTAGTGGCTCTCCGTGTCCAATTTATCATTTGGAGAAAATCTATAGAGCCACTGAGAGGAAAGGGGAGTCACTGGGAGGTGGCAGTGAAGGATGACCCAACAGGGGGATGAAATGAGTGAATACTGGGGCATTTAGACAGAAAAAAACCCCTGATATTGTTAAAATACAACTGAAACTTCGACACAAACTCAAAATAATTCACCTATAATAAATGTATACATGTTTACAAAAATATGAATTAATTCAATTATTTACAGGACAAGCCGAACAGTTCCACTTTATTTATACGATTTAAAACTAATGTTTGTTTGTTTAAAAAAACACACAGTTTAAAACAGCAGCTTTTGGCGTTTTTAGAGTGATGAGAGGGTAATTGTTAGTGAGCGGGGGCAAATGGTGATATGCTCATGAATGCAGAGAGTGTTGCTGCATCTTTCACTCTGGTGGAGACGGATGAACAGAGAGGAAAACCAAAGACATTGGTGGATTTTTCCTTGTTGTTTTTTGGTGGCAGTGGCCAACGATCGGATGAATTAGACGATCTAAAGGTTGGATTGTGAGACAATGTTGGTTTTTAATCTACAATAGATGTCTATATCCTCACAAACTAAAACAAAGTAATTCAAATTGGTACATTTTTGCTTTGTTTTAATGGTCCAACATGGCAGCCTCAGACTCCTGATGTGAATATTATAATATATTTCCTTTCATAAGGAAGACTTAGGAATTGAAACTAAATCTTGTAGAAAAACAAAATTTTTCCATTCCGTCACAGACATCATTGTGTCCACACAAGGTCTCTCTCTCACTGTCACAGCCACTGTCATTTGTTCCTCCTCTACAAACATCCTTGGTTCATTCACAAAGAAGACAAACGCTGCCTAATTTTTTCCCCTCCTTTTATATACACTATTATCCGTACAATAAGAGGGTGATGTCACAAACTCAGCGTCTGTGCACCGATCTGGTTTTCAGATCACTCCTGTCATTAGTCAGCTTCGTCTTTACAGTTCTTGTGTGACATTGGCCGCGGTTTAGTCACGTTCACACGTCTGTCCACAAAGTTTAAAGGTCGCAGATACAGTGAAGTGCGTCAGCATTTTTAATGACCAAAAATAATTTATATTTCAACCTGGGATGTTATTTAATTAGTAGGCTTTCAGACCAGATACTTTGTTGACCGCACAGCGACTCTGTGGCCCTTTAATCAGAGGGTCAGCAGTTCGATCTCTGGTTCCTGGAGTATACTTGTCGAAAGTGTCCTTGAGCTAGACCCTGGAATTTGAATCAATGTGTGAACGCTAAGAGATAAATGACCCAGTGCTGGTGAAGTATACGAGAAGTCCAGAAAGAATTACATAAATGTAACCGGCAGCTTCGGGCGTTGGGAAGCGTTCTGATGATTTTCTCTGGGATTGACTGGAGTCAGGGAGCAGATTGAGATGGTTTGGACCTGACTTGAGGAGAAATGTCATGAAGCCAATAAAAACAATTAACTGTCTTTCACTGTTTGACTAAAATAGTCAAAATAGTTTTGTCTTTGAGAGTACAATAATTAAAGTTATAAATGATGCTGTGTCAAGGTCACGTCCTGTGATTCCTCTGAACGTTTATGTGTGATTTCTCCGCCTCTGTACTTATACAGTACTGACATGCCTCATACACACCGTGTGTGTTTGTGCAAGAACAGCAATCCAGTCAATAAGTAACTACACGAAAGTACTTGCAAGGACAAATTCAATACACTTATCATTATGATAAACGACTGTTTTTTGTGACAAACGAGTTAACATGCTTATTAACTCAGACCAAAATACACTCACAAATACAAAAAAGGAAGGAAAACAAGATCTACTACTCTTTTCTACTTACAATAAACTAAATATGTGGCCCAATCTATGTATCGTGTGATATAGAAATAAACAAACTACGGCCCAATCTGTGTATCGTGTGATATAGAAATAAACAAACAATATGGCTTTTAAATACAAAAAAGATAAAATTATATAACATAGAAATATATATATATATACTATATTATAAATGTAAAAAAATGAACAAATGAATAAATACAAAGATTATATAACTGGGCAGTTGTTTATAAAATGAATACATTTCTGGCATCAGTCAAATGAACCAGTGGAGAAATTAAGTCTATTATTTTTTTTATATTCTATATTCTATTATATTTAAAAATATTAAATTTGAAATGTTTACGTGCTTGTATTTTGGCCATTTCCTGTGTGTGTGTGTGTGTGTGTGAGTGTGTGTGTGTACTGGTACGCTCGTTCAATAAGAGCTGACAGCCGCTCTCTATGAACTCAAACATTTTTTTGATCATCCCCAAAAGAACACGTTTTCTGTGGGAAGGGTGCAAAGTGAGAAATAGAAAAGTATATAATAGAATATAAAGGCAACCATGCACACACAAACACAGTGGGACATACTGTGGCGCTATGAGTCAGTGAACACTTGTTAGCGGTCAGGCTCGTTCCCGCCAGTTGGCACAGGCCTCTGGTGACTCAGGGAGACTTGTCGACCAGGAGACAGAGTGAGCAGTGGTGTCAAAAATCCACAGAAAGGAGAGGAAAACACAACCTGTGTTCGGAAGGGCCTCGGAGTGTCAGCGAACACGTTTAAATTCCCTGTTAAGAAGCAGAAATTAGCCTTGTAGCTGTCCAAAGAGTGACTCTTATCACTCTTCTCTGGCACATCAGCTCACCTCTAATATGGTATTGAAGGGTTGCTCAATGGTGAAGAGCTCTGACAGGTTGTTTTCAGTCTCCACTTTGGAGTTCATTTACAGCCAGTCAGCCCGGAGTCCTGCGGGAGCCTGATGATTTTTGACACCCGGACAAGCAGATGTTCAGAGGACATGAATAAAACATACCGTCCGTCTGACCACAGACTGGAAGCCTTTCCGAGGGTCTAATGAAATATGAGGTGTGATTTCAATTCACACCACTCCAAAAACACTTTGTCAGTGAGTGTGATGCCGCCTGAAATATTAATGGCATCCATGTAGCCGTGACAATCAAAGCCGAGACACGTTTGTCAAACCATTGTGCTGCCAACGGAAAAGAAAGTCAATGGAACTCCTTTTATCAAACAAACACACGTGTTATATGTCACCACAGAAAAACCAAATGATTATAAACTGCTGAAACATGGAGCCGCCGTGAGACTCGTTTGTTTTTCACATGTTGTGTTCCTCCTTAATTTCACTGCTTATTTCTCTGTTTCCTCCCAAAGCCAAAGAAAGGGCCGGGCTCAGCGGTTCTGCTCAGCAGGGGGTGCAGCAGAACACGTTACCACACCACCCACTCAAACCTGCTCCTGTACTGAATTTAAGATCTGCAAGCAATTACAGTCACAACAGGGTGGGCATTTAGTTACACTGTTTTCATTCAAGTGAAAATCAAACGTGATTGGTGGTTGTTTGGTTTGATTGTTCACTCAGAGTCGACAGACGATTAGCGGTTAGCTTCAAGTCCTGTGAGTCATGTGTAAATGAATCAAACTGAACATTTCTTTAGCTCATCTCATATTTAAGACACACGAAAGGTTTGGATTTGTCTTTTTTAATACACATCTAAACATCTAGAGACAGCAGGAAATAATAATCCGGTCCACTGGGATGTATTTTAGACAATTTGTTCATCAGCACCTCCTAAAGGAAACTTTATTCCATTAAAAAACTATATTTTTCAGACTTATTTTGTCCATAATTATGCTCAGAAAAGTCAGTTTTTGTCAAAATAAATAAATACAATTTCTACCAGGGTATTAAGGCCATTGCTGTTGCTGTTGCTCTACAATTCAGTGATACAAATAATAACACTTACAGGTAAGAGTGCAGAATACAGAATAGAGTGCAATTTGTTTTGTGCGATTTTTTGTAAAATTATTTTACCGGAGAATTGCTGTCACTTTATCCATTCGTCTATCAGTCCTTTGTTTGTTCATTTGTATTCGCTCATTCGTTCAGTTACTTGTGTTATATACATACTACCACCCGCAACTAATTTAGTTTCACATGGACACAGACACTGGGTTTACACTTAAGTTACAAGGTTACATCCTAGAGGTGGACGCCTAATATGACGGACAGCTCCATAGTTTATCAGTTAAAAACATACACCTGATCTGAGAAGTGAACAGAGAGTTCCAATTTCAGAGTCCGTCCAAAATAAGGCCAAATCATCTTTCAAATGCAACCAGACTGCTACCTCAAAATCCAGCTGTTCATCAGTTTTTCTTCTGTTGTGCTTTGTCAACCATTTTCCTTTAAATGGGATTATGTTTGAAATATTTAATAATCACCATTTCTATTTGAAGTGATTAACACCTACTGCATGTGGAATTCCCACAAAAACACGTTGATGTTTTTCTCATTTTCCTAGATCCAGCAGCTGCACACCACCACTAAGTGTCTTGTGCACATAAACAGTACTATAAACAGTGCCATCGATTTCGTCAGTGGTTACTGTAATCTAATAAAGCCCAGTGTTAGCCCTCCTCATTAACTGTCAGTTTTAAAGAGTATACGAGGACGCGGCTGATTTAATAGGATGATTAAAACAGTGTCTTTAAATGATCCATCTAATTAAACCGATTTATATTTATATCTAGTCCCTGTGATTGTCTTTGGGCTGTTCTGGGTGGATGTGAATTATAGAATAATAAAAAATTCATATAATTCAGAAATACTGATTTTTCTTCTAGGGCATTTGTACAAGTGCCTGTAAGAAAATACTAAGCTCGTCATTCCAGGTTTGTTTTGATTGCTCACAATAAAGCTGGAATAAAGGATTACAAAAAAGGATTATAACCAAACTAAATCCCTCCATGCAAAAGAAAAAAAAATTAAATTGATTTTCATCGAGGTGTCAATCGATGCACTGTTTCGCTGATGGTATCAGAGGGTGGAGTGTCACATTTTCTGCCGATGAGATTGAGCGGCAGCGAGAGGCTTAGTGGCAAATACAATCGAGGAGTGTAAACATACAGAGGGCCACAAGAGGCCGATCAATGCCTCCAGTCTGGGATTGATTAATTACCCCAAGAAAGAGAGTGAGGTGTGAGGGCACCACAGAAACCTGATCAGAACAAGATTTATCACCCAATCTTTGTATCATCACCACCCCTCCTCCAACTGTTTACTCTTCTTCTTCTCCCCTTCCTCCCCCAGCCCGTCCTTCTCTATTTACTAACTGGAGTGTGTCATGTTTAAATGTGAATAGGTTGTTGAACATGTTGTAACAGGGGAAAAAAGTCTATTGTTGCCAAAGCTACCTTTTTGAAAATACACCAAATACAGAGGAAAAAGAATTAAACACAACAAAGAGAAAATGGTGAAAACATTTTCAAAGAATTATAGTTTGGAAAACTATATAAAAAAATCTTTACACTAACCAAATATAAACTGCAATTACATTTATGTCATACTGTAGGTGCATCTATTCATCTGTCTAGGTTTCAGTGACCTGAAAAAAAAATTCCAACACATTTGTTCACCACAAAATACTCTTTTCGATTCATTTGGGTTGAAATATTAAATATAATTTGTGACAGAAACTATGATTTGCTTTCTTACAAAAATAAAGAAAACAACCAAAACCTATATTTTCTTACTTTCATCACCGTTGGACTTGCACTGTATTTTCCAGGAACTCTTTCCTCCCGACCCTGAAAAGGAATAAGACACACAGTCATACATCGTTAACAGAATCCAAGCACTTTAGAAAGATATGTCTGTCTTTACATCTTTACAAAACATTTTAATTACTGTGTTTGTCTCAGTGATTGCAACAACAGTGTTAGCTCAGACACACAACACAATACAATACAATACAATACAGTGGCTGATTGGATCCACTGCTGGTTTATCTTCACTCAAAGCATTTTTCTTTTCCCTTTTTACAAATAGTGAGTTTTAATTTCAGCATTTAACAAGTCTTTGTTTTTAAAATGACACTAACATGATCACAGCAGTGGTTCTCAAATGGTGGCCCGTGGACCACAAGCTTTTTTACAGCACTTTTGAAGCCGCAAACTTGTAGAAATTCATCACCGTTCACGGACCGTATTTGCTCCTGTACGTGTACATGTGGATTTCCTCTCAAATCCAAACAAGCTTTTGTGAACTCAACCTGAACTCCTTCCTACAAAGATTCAAAACAACATTCTCGGTATGAGCCACATCTTTCATTAGTTCCAAGAGTTATTTTGTTGATGACAGTATGTAACAAAAACCCAGGAGCTTCCCCAGGGACCTGCTGTGATCAGGAATGTTTCATTTTACTGAGGTTTAACAAAAAGACATGTATGAAAGTGAGTGAGAAATATAGACATTATAGGGATTACAAATACTGAGGTGTCTACACGGACAATAAACTGGACCAGAGTCACTTCTATTCCTTCAACATCTGCCAGATACTTTTGAGATTTTTTTTTTTTTTTTTATGAGACTGCTGAACGCCACAGCTGACACGGATGCTGCTATGTTGGCACGGCAGTCTCAGGGTGGTAGATGCCAACAGAGTGAATAAACGTATCCACAAGGCTATTGACGTAGCAGGCCTTAATATAGACTGCGGTGTCAAAGCTCTGGTTCGTCTTGGACAGTGATTCACATTAGGTGCTGGTCGGACACAGGCGCTCCTTTAGTAATAGTCTTATTTCATCGCCAAGAAACACCGGAAATCATTCCTACCCGAAGTCATCGGATTATTTAACTCCTTCCTCTTGCGTGTGTTATCAATATTACACTATATTGCACTGCTTGTAGAAGCTTAGAAAACCCTATAATAAAGCATTTGAACGCCTCTGACAGTAGAATACATACAGTAGATAAACTGCATTGCTACTCTGATTAAGTAAGATTTTTCTAAGGACACGAATGATGTCTTTAAAAACACAGTCTTTAACTTCAGCTTGGCCACTGACAGGTAAAGGTATAGAACACAGCAGGCTTACTTAAGATAGGAGTAGGAAGGAAGAGTCTCAGGAGGGAAAACTACAGACAAAAACTAGGCATGAAACAAACTGGCAGTGGATCAGGTTTGAATAGTAGAAGGGGAGGAGCTAACAAGACACAGGTGAAGAAGGTTAAGTAATCAGTGTGAGGGGACGCACAGGAGGTGAGGAGAAGTTGATGAAGGGGAGGAATAGACACAGGAAGTAGGAAGTGGAGCACTGAGGAGAAAAAAAGTAAAAGAATTTAATTCAAACCAGGTGATCGCAGTACATGTTGTATTTGTATTTAGACTGTGCCTTTAGTCAATTTCAAATAGTGGTAGTTTCAGTTTAAAAACATTATGAATGACAGAGGGAGGATAGTTAAGAATGTGAGATTTCCTCAGCAAGTCTTTTCTTCTGTGTTTTTTTTTTTTTTTTTGTATTCTGTGTTCCTTTTAGGCTGACGACTGGCCAAACTCAAGACTCAAGACCATATAATCTGTCCACTATCGAACAAAATACGACAATATGTCAGTCCGCACATCCCCCCCGAGTCTCAGTAACCTGTTTCCGTCCATCATATAAATCCCCTCATATAAGACAGTACACAGTAAAGAGAGACTGGCCATTGTCATGAGCAGGACAGCTACAGGACGGCGTTGATGTGTGATGCATGACTGTCTCTCTGTCGCCCTACATCCTCTCCAGAACTAATGATGACCTTTGATTCCCAAAAGATGTCAAGGGATAGGAGATTTTTAAAAAAATGCAAGTGCACCCAATTAAATTAGGGCGCAGAGGACTGGAACGTGTGAGCACGTCATGCTGCTGGAGTGAATGGTGAGGGCTTCCAGGAAAGACAAAGCTCAGTATAATTAGGATTCAGGAGGGCCTTTGTCAGAGATAATTAAAGCTGACAGCCACTGTGGAGTGGAGAGGAAGAGCAGGAAACCCCTCTGACTACAAGTTTGACTTTAACGCACTCTCTATATCGTCTCACTCAAAGGTCTGTGCTGCTATTTTCACGGTGATATGTCGACTTCCACACACTTGGAAAAAACAAAACCTCCGTTTTTAAGAAAAAAAAAGTGTTTCTTGTGAAGGTACAACATGTTTGTTTGGAGACCAGTTGCAATAATCTGACTGTTACAGGAGTCAATCTCTGCCTGGTCACCATGGTAACAAAAAGAATCACAACCTGGTTAATTCCAAGAGTGGCAAGTGCTTTACCTGATCTCATAAACTTTCATGAATAAAATTATTTTTTGTTTAATCTGGTCTAAGTAATCTTCAAGTCAGTGTTTAAATCTAAGGTTATACAAGATAACACACACATTTACCCTAATTTAACATCACAAATGTAAATCTAATTACCCTATGTCTAATCTAATCCCACATTCTAATTCTAACTCCAGCCTCATTCTCAAACCTCTTTCTTTAATTTTTCACTCAGAAATAGAAACATAGTATTTTCCCCAAAAAATGTCCCCACCAATACACTAGGTACACACACAGCAGCGCATACACACACTCACACTCACACACTCACAGCCTGCAGTACCATCTATCATCCCAGCTGACTTTCAAAGTGCATACCAGGCGATAAAACAGATGACAGATTAATAGACACAGTAAAGACAGTTGTTGTATCTACACATCCAGTCTTTTCAGCCTGACATCAAGCCGAACAATATCATTATGGGATGTGATGCTTGAGCAGAATGCTCATATCTCACCTCTTTCATAAAATGTGTGCAATGTCCACGACGTGACCTCAGTCTCTTACAATTACGTGGACATCATCAGCATACATATAAAATACTTCAAAAAATTTAATACATTTAAAAATGTAGTGTCAACATATAACGACCTGTACGTTCAGTGGTCTGTGCTGTAGCATAATGTTACGGACTCAGATTACCCTAAAGTCATAATTTACTGAACAGTGACCTCTATGGTCAAAATATTAAGAGTTCTGGAAATTCAATTTGCTTGTGCTTGAGTTTCTGCACTGACCCCACAAATTAAACTAGGTCTCAAAAATGGCAAATACAGTAGTGATCTCAGAAAAAAAGACTTCTAAATTTACCATTGTGTCATTACACTCAACAAGTTAGAAAACATGTCCTTATCTTGTGGGTTCAAACTGGCCACATCATGAGGTACACTCTGCTAATTAGCGGAACATCACGGTTAATTAAGTAAATTTGTTCAACAGTGATGTGAATCACCTGATCCACCACATCAACAATTACCGTAACAGAACAGACACACACACAGACATGTCCGGCAGCATCACTCTTTACTCAGGTTCTCTTTATTATTCAAACACTGCTTGGTTGAGAAGTGGGTCAGGAACTCATCTCCTACAACATCACGCCTCCATACTTTTTTAATGGTTGCCCGTTCACTGGTCTTCCTCACAGGATCAGTTCTCCGTGTGGTCTTTGGCCGCTGTGACACATTTTCAAAAAGGTACTATAAGGTGTACTCTGACGTTCTTCTGCTTACTTCTGTTGTCAAGTGTACTATGTGGATGTTTGGACTATTCGATCCTAAAGATCTGGAAAACTCCTGGTAAACCAAATGTTTTCAAATCCACATGCTAGACACCAACACCCATTTCTGTTGTTTTATATTTCTGCATCTTATTTCTACAGTCGTGTCTGCGTTATTAAATGTATTGATGAGCTGCCGTGTGATTGGCCGATTAGATGAGTGCATTTTCTATTGAAAGCAGAAGCGTAACTGACCTGGCCCTATTTCTTCCATATCAGGCATCACCTGGCATTAGTTCATCACTTGGTGAAAGTAAAGATGTGAAGACAAAATGTTAAACAATGCATTTGTAACATTTCCTGACACAAATTCTTCAAGGTAAAAGAATGTGCCCTTTTCTCCCCCCTTTCTCATTAATTCTGAACAAATCTGAAAGCTCTTTCCAAGATAATGAGGCAAACATAGACAGCTACATTTATTTTGAATTTACAAAAGAAAAGAAAAGAAAAAACCTTTTCTGAATATTCATGCAAATGAGACTTTCCCTTATATTCCTCCCTGTCAAAGGCAGCCTACAGGAATGCAGTATTTTATACACTCGTACATGTACTCGAGGATTTAAGCAGCATCGCACATCTTCAGTTGTACCTTTGTTTTTAAGCTTGGCATTGACATTAAGTATCCTTCATCATTACAAATACACCAAACTGTTTTAAGGTAAATATATCCTTCATCTATTGAAACGACATTTAATGAATTTATACAATTAATCTGAAACTCATTAATGTCGCTAAAGTCATGCCTTCATTTCCAGTTGGATTTTGGCTTTGTGGTAAAACGTGCCTTGTACTCTGGCCACCAACACCATATCTATGGATGCGACGGTCATCATCACTGACGCCGTCGGAGCCGCTGAAGGGAAGGCACTTAATAGTGACAGGTAAATTGAGATCGGCTGATTATTTCTAGGTTGTGATTTCTTGGCCAGCTCCTGTTGTAAAAAGAAGAAAAAACTGACACAGGCATTTAAGAATACTGAAGAGTGAATTTCTGGTGGAATTCCTTCAC